CTTTTGTGCTGTCGACTGTTAATGACAACCCTACTTTTTATACTAATGGTAGTATTGCACTAAATAATTTTTTTAAAATTAAATAATGCATCAAAAAACATAGAATAATAATATGCAAAAGGACACAATGTACCATATCTTTTGCAATTTTTCTGGCTTTCTAACTATGCAACAAGATCCATTACAAATTCATCAAGCTGGTCAATGCATTTCCTATAGGAACAAAGTTTGTACTGAAAGAGAAATTAACACTTTTCTGTACAGAAAACAACATAATATAATACCTCATTTGATAGATGGAAATCTTGGTTTTCTATTGGTTAAAAAATCCAGTTTTAAACGTAAGAGAGAACTATTCACAAATTCTGAAAGAGAGGATGTGAAATAGGGGTCAGATTTTCTATTTGATGGCTCTGTAACCAAATAAAATTAAAGGCTACAAAAATTATGCTTTATCTGATTGATGACAATATTATGATAAGTAATTTACATTAGATTTCTTACTTCTTGGAGAGGTGGTAAATAAATTAGAGAAATTATGCCTAGAGAAAAAATGTCACATTTCTCACACTAGGGAAAAATTCAGCAGTTTTTTAATATTGCCTTATAAAATTAAGGACTTAAAACTTGTACACTATTAAAATATGGTATAACATGAAAAAACAAACAATCAAATTTTGAATGTAACTCATTAAAAATCTTGTGACATGCATAGCAAAGGATGCCTGTGGTGAGAAGGGTAATTATTGCTGAAAAGTCAAGGAGACCATGTTGTGAAGAGTGTGATGAGGTGTCACCAAAAAAATAAACAAACTAAATTAATTTCAAAAATGATATGTGCCAACCTTGTTCAGTTGAATTATCTTCAAGTCACTTCTTTCTCTGGTTAATCGATTGTTGCATTATTCTGTGACAGTTGAGGTGTTTGGTATTTCTTGCAGTTTTGAACTATTTTGTTCATGAAATGCCATGTATAGTATAATTAAATATTAGGGTTTGAAGCTGAATAAAAGTGCTATCAGAATAAAAACATACTATTTACCTATTTTTTATTAGTTGATGTCTTTAAAAAAAAAAGACTTTTAGTGCTGGATTTAGATTCCATAAATTGTTAAAATGATGATTGCTAAAAAAAAAGATGCTTAGAAAATTTGCTAATTGCTAATCAGATTCAATAATGATTAGCAGTTTCTGCTAATCAAATTAACCAAACTATTTTGTCCCCTAAAAGTGTAAAGGTATTGATCAATAAGCAAATCTTCATTAGGTAGTACAATGTATGTGAAATATAAAGCAACGTGTAAATTCAAACTATTTCAATTTTACGTAAGTTACTTACATACATCAAGGAAGCTCAGCTGTGTAAGCCAATTAGTTTCCTAAAAATGAAAGAAACATGAAAAAATAAAGGTAACCCATAGAAACCCAACCATACAGAGGAGGAAGAAAACATGTAAGTAGAGAATGCTTACTTCAATGGCAATTATTTCCACATTACAAAGAAAAACATTTGTAAAACAGGCCACAAAAACAATAACAACTAGAAACCAGGTCCAGCTCTAGAATTTGTTCATAAATTATACATCTTTCATGTGAAGTAGCTTTTTTTGCCTGTGTGTCTTACAAAAATATTTGTATCCCGTCTTACAGGTGCTACATTCAAACAATTAACAACCATTTGTATACACAAAATCAATGGAGTCTTGCCATTTTTCCCACGATAAATGCTCTTCATCATGACTCTACCTAACTTTAGGCTTAAACTTGATAGGTGTTAAAATGAGCTTACCCTCAACCACATATTGGCCAAGATCTATGCTCTACATGGTCTACATTAAATAATATTAGTCATTTATCTATTTGAACTTTTTAAACAATAAGAAGTCAATAAATGTGTGATTTTTGTTAATTTCCTTGCAATTTAACCCAAAGAACATTGAATATATTATTCACTGATTTCAAGAAACTCTGACTTTGCATTTAGAGCTCTTTGCACTCAAGCAAAGAATTACACATTGATCACGAATATCCAGCAGTGCTATAAAAGTTAACATTTTCCTAAAATGAAAATGAATTTCCGAGATACTTACCTCCTTTCACAAAAAGCTTTCTCGACTTGTACTGCTCTTTATCAGCACAAATTTTAGCTCACCACTAGCCTTGCTACTCCCACTTATTGCTGCATACTAACATGCAAATTATCATGCAAGCAACCCTCCACCAATAAAAGTGCAACACTACCCCTATTGTAACTAGCACCCTCTAATCATGCACATGTTAATCACTTTGTGGGTAGGTCAGGTAAGAAATGTGAGAAAAGGTAAGTATCTGTTGGAAATACATTTTCAGTTCAGGAAAATGTTAACTTTCGATATGGTATCTTACCTCCATTCACAAACAGCTAGAATCCCACACTGAAATGGTGAAAGGCTGGTGAGAAGATGATCCGATCCCCCTTTAAGAGGCACTCGAAGAACATGAGGTGTGGAATTAAAAATAACACACCAGTGAGAGATCATACCACTTCTGAGCCAGCTATACTCTTTGCCCTTGAGTAATGTGTTGCCAAAGGGCAGAAACCTGGAGGGGTCCAAAAAATACAGAAATAATGGGACCCTCTGGTGTGGAGTGGCTATGGAAGGATAGACCATAAATGGGAGTTTGACCTCAACCAACACCTGGCATTAGGTCCACGGAAGGAAGGACGTCACGCCATTGGCACCTGCAGAATGTCACTACCCTACTCTCAAACTGAGCGGTATTTTGCACACTCAGGAGGACAGGCCTGTACTCCACCAGAAGGATGAGGGAAAAAGTACACTGGAGAGTCCAGAGGATTGCAGCACCAGAGACAGTGCAATAGGTGACCGCAATATCCTATTCTGAAAAGCAGAGTGATCACACTGACAGAGAGATTCAGCCAACACCTGGCGGTGGCTGGAATTGTGGTTCACTGTAGGAAAATACTCAAATGCCACGAATAATCAGAGATCAGCAATAATCTCTGTCTGCTTTACTCGTGTTAGTCCATGAGTGCACAGTCTGGATGAACATATTTATGAAGCAAAAGACTGTGAAGTATACCTACAAGTGGTCCTGAGGAACACCCCATCTCAACGGGGAGTATAATATGACCTGGATTAGTGTTATGACATTATATTTTGATCATAGAGAACACATTGACAGAATCAATAAATCAACACCTGCCTGGCGGCCTCTGGAATGGTACATCAGGTCCACAGTAGGAAGAGTCTCAACATCACAGTCATCTAGTATGCTTACAGGTCGTACAGTGCACATTTAAGACTAAGTATACCTGGTCAGGTAATACTTGCCACAAATATGTGATATAGGCCCATGTAAAGAAAAAGAAAATTTATGACCACAGATAAACAGTTACAGCACTGATAGTGCCCCTGTAGGGAAGATGGAAATGTGCAGCCACTGACATGGTAAGGTAACAGATCTGATGGGAAGAAAACATGAAAAAGACAACAATCCTTAGAAGAAAGGGACGAAAATGCCAAGTGAATGAACTAGTGAATACAACCCAGAAAGGTAATGGTAAAAAGACCATAGATAGGGTCAAGGGAGGAGAAAAGAGAAATGGAGAGAGAACATGAAAAACATGTCTGCTAAAAACTGAGACCAACAGATGGCAAAGAGGAAGTGACAGGTACCCAGATATCTCAATGTCACAGGACAGTCACTGACAAAAGGAGCAATGAACCAGTTGTAGGATAGTAGGAGGAGTAGAAAATGAGGAAGGTCTAGAACCTGGAATCATAAGGTTAGGGGTCGACTGATCCAGATGAAGAACAGGAGCCAATGGACAAGTTTGAAAAAGAAGAAAACCTGGGAAGATAACAAGGACTGAAGTCATACAACTTTAGTAGAGGTCTCCAGTGAGAAATGAACACTACTGAAGACATCCAGATGAAGAAAAAAAGCCTTAGGAAGATTATTTACACAGTAAATAGAAACACAATTCTAACAAATAAACTCAGCAGCAGGGGAACAAAATATGGAGGGACGGAGCAGAAGAAGTAGAAAAGAATAAGCTGGCAAAGAGAAAGAAACAAACTTCCACAGAAAACCCCTCTGGAGCATGATGAAGTGCCTCTGACAAAAGGTGGAGGGAGGAGAGGGAATACAGGAGGGTGGTGAGAAAAAAAATGAAGATGTGGAAATGGGGAACCAGAGAGCAAAATAGAAGGCAAGGGGCCTGATCTCTAAGCAAAGCAAATAGATACTAAAGACAGGGAATCTAGAAAGTAAAAGAACAATGTCTACAAATCAGGATAAAAGAGTCAAGAACATGAGGGGAACAAAGCATGTGGGTGTGAGTTGTTTGAGAAAGGAAACAACATAAACCCTAATAACAAGCAAAGGAGGAAAGAACTGGATTCAGGAGTAAAGAATGGGTAACATTAACCCTATATACAAGACACACTTTTTAAACTCCTTTCAGTGCATATTACTGGGTTACATTCAAAATTTAATTAAACAACTTTATTACCCACATATGTCAATGTAATGAACATTATAACATGGTAGTTAAAAGGTCAGTCAAAATGACTGACTAACAGTCTGTATATGGAGATATAACTGTGTCTACTTCAAGCTAATGACAAATTACAAACAGTAACCTTAAAAGAATATTCATTTATAAAAATTCTTCCAAAACAGGGTCCAAAATTTTGTTAATGGTTTAGTAGTTTATATCTCCTGAAACTTTTAATTTATCATCATAAAAATTGTTTTTCTCATATACATGGGGTTTTTGTAGGAATGTTTCTGTCAGATAACCCCCACCCCATTTTGCAAACTCTGCCTCAATCCTTAATCTTCTAAATATTCAAAGTTTTAAAAGTACTCTCCAAGCTTATAAAAAAAAATAAAGATCTTAAAATAGCAATTGTTAAAAATAAAGTACCTCTAGCTGATAAGCTTCTGATTAAGGTGGCAAAAATAATAACACAAGAAGAGTTTCATAGTACCTGATGATCAAAGCTAGCATCCCCATCTCCCAAATCTATGTGCATCACTTGGTGAGGTGAAACTTTATCAACTAACTCTTGACTTTCATCTGTACATACTGCTCCTGATATATCTGGCTCCACAAGTTCATCTCCTTCCATGATGATTTCATCAGGGCCTTGTGAATAAACCACAGTGTTCATGCTGTCAATGTCTACAGACGTCACAATAGAGTGAGGTATTGTCACAAATTCACCTGAGGTATTAGTCACAAAATCATGCACTTCCTCTATTATAGTTTCAACACAGTTGTGCTCCATCTCTATAGACAACAGTTTACAATTCTGGAGGGTGTGCTCTACTCTGAATATCAGTTGCAGCGTACCAGCACACCATATTCATGCAATTTAACCTGAAATAAAAGAAAAATTATTAACCTACATCTTTTTATTTATTTAAGTTATTTGTTTATTAAAGTTAAATATAGTAATACTTCAATACTTTATTTATCAGTTTCTATATGAAAAAACTGATGTTATGATTCCAAAAGTGCACCATTACCTTTTAAAACAGATTCTTTTCTACCTTTGTCCAATTTACTTATTTATTGAAATGTTTATTTTAAGAAAAGTTAGCTTGGTACACATGTAATTCAATGTTTTACATTTATAAACAAGTGACTTTGGCCATGTGATACATTATACAATTATGCACAAAACTTTTTAAGTTATGATAATGGTAAATATAAGTTGGGATGAAAACTTAGAAATTTCAATTAGGAAAGCACTTCAAAACAAAATTATATATTTATATAATAGGAATAAATAATATTGTACAATAAACACAAAAAGAAAATATCCAGTAGAACTGTCTGATGGAATGTTGAAAAGGAAGTACATTATATCCAACAACATAATAACACAGAACACAAATATCAAGCTTTCATGTGAACAATATAAATAATATCATAATGTTGAGGTGAGGATATGAAAACAAAAAACCACTCATTCTTGAAGTAAACTGAATCTATCTAAGGTCACAATAAATAAGAGTACAAGAAAAAAACATATTGTTACGTCTCCGTTTGTCAACTGATTTTCCATAACCTCGTTCCGACGAAACCCAAGCGACACAAGTTCTTTCTTAATAAAAACTGGTTTATTCTTTCCGAATACA